CCATTCTCAAACCTATGTCATATGTGCTGTGTTTTTGGTATTTTATTGGAGGGGGGGATTGATTTAGTTGTTAAATTTCCTCCTTGTTTTGGCTTTACAGCAACAATCCTTTCTACTAGATGTTCTAAAATTTGGAACAGGGAAGGCTAGGGAGGGTATGCTAAGGACATTTTTTTCAGTTCCTGATGCAGGCCTGAAATGACTTTGATTTTTGGAATCTGTGCCCTCCAATGGAAGCTGAGTGACATGCAATTTGGGGTGGTTGCTTTTTGCAGATTAGACAGCATGAGGGTAGTGGAATACCCCTTTATTCACAGAGATTTGGGTCATTACGTTTTTTATACATTTTACACTATGCCCTGTTGTGACTTGACCTTTGGTAGTTGCAGATATCATTTTGGATTTTGGCAAGGGGTGAATTAGAAGGGAAATGTTAGTACTATCCTGGTACATTTTACATTTGCTCACTTATTTCAGTTAACATACTATGTCTAGTAATACTTGCATGGACTGCTTTTTGGAAGCTGGAGAAGTCCATCAATCTCCACATCCACCAAACTCAAGCTTTTCAACACTTTTAGAATGCCTGTGGGGGAATCATGCCGGACATATGCCCTGTATGTACCGACGCAGGGCAGCGACTCGACTACCTGGGCTACATCCAGAACCTGTTGGGAGACCCTGCGGCCAGAGGACATTGCCGACCTGGCGTTGGATCGAAGGTCGTGGAGAAGACTGGTGGTCGACTGCTCCGCAGCCGGACGATGATGATGATGATGACTACATTGACTAGTATTTGTATTTTGGCTGGGACGAGGGATGGGGAGCGAATAATGACCTGTTTTCACTCTATTTGTGACATTATGGTGTCATAAGCCATGTGGAATGGAGCCTTCTGATTGGTCAACGTCACTCAGCTATATGATAATAATAAGTAAATGTTCTCGGGTACCAATCTGCGGCTATGCCCAAAGGCAACGCCGAATCAGTACACCAAATCAGTGTGAGTACTCAATGCTCTTGTACAGTTCGTTCCACTTTTACTTTTTTTAAGCCTCAGCTTTGATAATGTGCTGTAGGTACAGCTTGACGTCATCTACGACTGTAACAAGACAGACCAGAAGACCTCCAGGGCCTGCCTTTCCTTGCCGTAAGCAAGTCCGTGCTAGGACTTATATGGAGTATAATTAACTAAGTAAGTCAATCCGGTGCGTCACATCAACTGGGCCGCCGCCATCTTGGCTCGGACGTCATTCCCGGGGCTCCCGTGAGGCTTCGCGGCTCCTGCGGTCTCAGCGATCTGCCTTAGTTTTGGTGCGATTTTGTCGCTAAGCGCGTAGGCTGGGCCATAAGACTACGGTGCTTAGTCGACAAACTCGACTAAGCAGTGGTCCTGCTTAGCGATTGTAATCGTCTAAGCGTGTCAGATTGGGGTGGGCTACGGGGCTTGGGTGTACCGCCGCTTTCCGTGCGGGACGTCCGGGTGGTAGTCTTGGCCTGACGGCTGGACTTGAGTGTCAAGCCACCGTTACGACTTTTTTCTGTCTCGTGCTGGTTACTAGCCATTGCAATGAGTGGTTGGGGCAAATCGACTATCGCTGTGACAAGCTGTCCGAAAAGACCACACATGCGGTGTTTCAGGGGTGTTTATAGTTGAGCGCTTGGGAAGGATGGAAACTTCTACAGCCAATCATGACGGGGCAAAACGGGCTGACCGACCCCGCCACCAATAACAGACCAGGCTTTCTGGCCTTTCAGACTGCCTGGCGCCAACAGACCGGGACAACACCGTAGGGGGTGGTGGGGCCTATGCGGAGCTGGCCTGGTGGTGAAATACATATACTTGGCTAATGTTGTAACTGTTACGTGTGTAGTAACGTTACAGTAGCCTGATGAATAACACTATATAACGTTACTACTTCTTTCACTTCTATAAGCTCCCTGCTTCTGTGTATAGCGAATGGATAAAATCATTTCACATTTTGCCACACTGGCCGACTTTCGCCATCCTCCTTCGCAGGGCTAAAATCCTCCGCTTCCCTTTAGCCCTGCTATTTACCGCTGACAGTTTGACTTCTGGTGACGTCACCGCCAAACTGCTGTCAGCCAATCAGAGAATTTGCGCACCGAGCTTTGCGCAAAAACCGCAAAGGTCGCTGGGAACCTATTAGCCAATCAGGTTACATGTTGGGACAGGCCAAGATGGCGGCTATTACAGATACTAGAAGTTTCGTGCGAGCCGTGCAAGATTTATTTGGAGTCGAGCGGCTTCGTGAGCATCAGCAGTCGATGCTACGGGCGCTGCTTGATGGCAGAGACGTTTTTCTGAGTGTGCGGACAGGAGGAGGGAAGAGCCTGTGCTATATGGGCTTCCCAGCAGCGGCCAAAGCCCTGGCCAAAGCCGAGACAGAGTTAGGGCAAGCCCCCCGACATCTGATTGGTTTGTGCCAAATAAGGCAAGCTCATGAATTATTTATAAGTGACGTCACCAGAAGTCAAACTGTCAGCGGTAAATAGCAGGGCTAAAACCGGAAGGGAACCGGAGGATTTTAGCCCTGCGAAGGAGGATGACTTTCGCCAGCCCAGTGGTATTAAAAGTGTATTCCAATGGTACAGGCATTGCTATACTATACTAAGGCAATACTAAGTATTATATAGCCTGGGTGCCAGAACCCACAGCTCACTGGACCTAAAGTTATCCAGCACGCGGGGTCTCACTGGATAACTTTAGACAGTGTGCTGTGACTCTGGCATCCAGGGTAAGTATTATATAGAGAGGTCACAAATAATAATGAATGAATGAAGACCTTTATTGTACATTTGTGTTCTACAGAACCAAGGAGGTTAATGACAGAACAAAAGTACAGGTCACATGGGTACAGGGCACCAACATAAACATATAACCGTTACGTTACATACATATAAACATATAAAAGTGTAAATAAATGTCTAATTACTATTTTATCTCTACTATACAAGGGGCAATCTATGCTGAAATGTATTTCATTTTCTATTTGGTCTGAACTACAGCATTGGCAGGTTCTTAATAATGTACAGACATGCATGACTCAACGAACAGATGCGCAAAATGGAACTTGACGTTAACATTAACGTTAAATAAATTCAACTTTCAGTTATTGTAGAAAATGAGAACAGATATGTTTTTCGACGGAAGGTTTGTCTAGTTGCATCAGGTAATATGGAAATAAGTCCATTTACAGGTTTAGAACAAACTCTCCATGGAGCTATTGTTATGGCGCGTGGCTATACAGATTCAGACAGATAATTGCTGACTGGCTAGACAGGTTCAGACACAGAGAGTTACGTCTGATTGATACACAGAAGGTTACCATTTCTCACCTACACGGAATTCTGTGTTGTACCAACTGATCAAAGCGTATGGGATTAGCGTCGAAGTGTCATAAATTAACATCACAAAGTTACGAACTTCGATCAAGGAGGTTAAAATCATCAAGGGAACTATGCACTGAGTCTGTGAAAAGTCGGCAAAGCTCTGATAAATTTCGGCTTCCTGCCTTTGCAAAGAAGATCAAAGACATCTTCGCACCACGTGCACAGACCGTAATTCACACCCACTCGGAGACGGTACCGTACCCTGAGAACTTTACTCAGGCTAATTTATGGCATTTACATCACAGCGAGACAAACCCTAAGCTCTGAGTCTGAACAAGGACGTTAAAACCGTGAAGGAGGTCTGTTTAAATTAAAAACGGGTCTGTGGTATCAAGGAGGTCCTTGGTAGTATTCACTGAAAAGTGGGGTGCACATGTTAATAATATCACAACTAAGGCGAAACAGACATTGGGAGTGATTAAACGTAATCTGTGGGCATGTCCAACTAGAGTAAAATCACTTGCATACACGTCACTTGTAAGACCGAACCTAGAATACGCTGCGACAGTATGGGATCCATATACAAAGAAAGACAAAGACAAATTGGAAAGGGTACGGAATCAAGCTGCAAGATTCTGTATGAACAACTATGTAAGAGGTGCTAGTGTCACGGAAATGAAAAGAAACCTACAGTGGACCTCACTGGAAGACAGAAGAAAGATGTCTAGACTATGCATGATGTACAAAATGACTAATAAACTGGTGGATGTCCCAACTACTAAGTACCTAATACCAGCCCAGAAGAGAACAAGAAATAGCCACGCATTCAAGTACCAGAGTTATCAACCAAGGATTGAGGTGTTCAAGAATTCATTCTTTCCTAGAACTATCGCAGAGTGGAACTCACTGT